CGCCTCAAGGTGGACATGAGCCCAGGATTTTTAAGGAACACACACAGAAAAAAGGCTAGTACAGCTTGAGTGTCAAGGACAGGGTAGGTGAATAACACTAGCTTTGGATAGAGTGTCAGGAAGCAGTCAAATGTTAGGGTATTGTAAACTAGCGCAAGGAAGCAACTGACAGATTTATGAGCAGGAGAGCAACATGATCTGATTCATCTTTTAAATAATTCTCTCCAGTCGCTGTGGCAAGGATGGATTGCAGGTGTATGGATGGGGAAAGGGAAGAATCGTGGAGGGGTAGCAGTGTTTCTGGTGCAATTTGGTGGTGTCTTGAAGTAGGGTGATAATAGTGAAGATGGAGAGAGGGGGGAGCCCAGAAATATTTTGGAGATCGAGTTGATAGGACTTGATGAATTAACACGGAGGATGAGGAAAAGAGAGGAATCGGGGTGATTTCAGGTGTCTTAATTTGAGCAATTTTGTGGATGGCGATGTCATTTACTGACACGAAAAGACTGGGGGATGAGCCGGTTGGCAGGTTGAGTACGGAATCAAGTTTTCAATTTTGGTTAAGTTGGGCTTGAGGTTCCTGGTGGACACGTTAAGTAAGCAACTGGTATAAATTAATGGAGGGGAGGGAGGACGGGGCTGAAGATAGAGATTTGGGTGGCAGCAGTGCCTTGATGAATTGACAGCATGGTAATGGACAGAATAACCTGGAGAGAGGACAGATTGAGAAGAGCAGGAAGCTTGAGGATGTAGCCTTGGGAGAAAAGGAGGGGGAAGTATGGCGTCCTTGAAGGCAAGCGAAGGCATGTCTCAAGCAGGGGATGATCAACTGCTTTGAGAGCTACTGAGATGTTGAGAAAAAATCAGGGCAGAGAAATGGACTGCCTTGGCAACATGGAGGTCCCTGGAGACTTGACAAAGACAATCTTCTCTATTATGGAAGGGACAAAATCCTGATGGGGTAGGTTAGAAAGAACACCAGAAATGTCAAGGCAGTTTACTGTTATTGCCATTTTATTTTTACTTACTGACTGCATTTATATTTCATTCAAAGAATGGTTATCTCATCCAAGGTCAAAGCCAGTTAGGTCAGCTCCAGGACCCAGAGTCCACCAACCGTCTCGTTACACGGAGCTGCATATTTTGCAAGAGGTTTATCGCCCTGTTTTTCAAACCATAAAAACCAACGCTTAATTCAGGGGAGCGCTCGACTTAAAACTTCTTCCACGATGACACTTCCATTTTAAAGCGAAAAACGAAAACGCCGGGCTTGGCGTAGCAACAGGCCGAAGGGCTTCGGTGCTCAGGAGCCAGCAAAGGGCCCGCCCCTTTTCCGCAGCCCTTAGCCCGGCG